CTTTTTTGTTTGTTTGTTTGTTTGTTTGTCTGGCTATTCTGATCTTTTTTTAAGCAACTGCATCAAGAAAACATCAATTTATGTCAGTTTAACAAATTTAGCAATTGTGGAATTTGGACATTTCTATTAACTTTTGAGTGGTGATTGTACTGAAGTGTGTTTTCTTGTTTCTGTCAAGATTAAATTGGAAAGACTTCAGAAATTACGGGGTTATCAACCACTAGAGACCTTGTTTTCACTGTCTCCCCCCACAGCTTTCTTTTTAGGGGTAACATTTTTTTCTGCCGCATAAAAAAGTGTACTGGTGGTTTTCTTTCTTTTTTTTTGTTTGTTTTGACACAAATTTTGGACCAAATTCCATGTTGTAGGGAGGTCTCAGGGTGCTCTATGGTTTTCTGTGTACCAGGTCATTTGAAGACATTGTTTTCTCTCAGGAGCCACCCCCCAACACACACAGTACCATCTACAGTCCATGCCCTTCATCACCTGTGAAGGTCTAATCTTATCTGCTGTCGTTGCATGGCTCGTCATTAATCACTCCCCAAACCCAATCAAATGGTGACTGATGGCTGATCTGGCCTTGCCTGGCCATTCCTCAGGTGCTCTAGATGGTTTTCTGGTGCACTATATTGTACAGATCCCTTGGCTGATTATAACTCCTGACTGTGTGTRTATAAAGGGAGCAGTGTCCTCTACAAGGGGTACACCATGGACCATGGTAGCCTGTACCAACTGCCTCGTCTACCTAAAGTTCAACACATTATTCTGCTGCTGCTGCTGACTCTAGCTCATGCGAGGCTCTGAGTCTGACTTTGCCAGAGTTTGAGCTATGGCTTTTGGTTGCCTTATACTTTTGTTCAATGACATTAAATCTCTCCTTGTTTGAACAAGTAATAACACTAAGTTGCCATTCATCTTTTTTGTCAGAGCTAGGGCAACATGTAGAATGAACAGGAACGTGTGTGTGTGTGTGTGTGTGTGTGTGTGTGTGTGTGTGTGTGTGTGTGTGTGTGTGTGTG